CCGCGACCCACCCCGCGACCCACCCGCGACCCACCCACATTGGCTTAGAAAAAATCCGCGCCTGCGGCGGGCTCGTTGTATAATTTGTGAAACGTTGGCGCCTGCTGCGGGCTTCCCCAGAGTTTCGCAAACTGCCGACGTCCCCACCGCCCCCATCACTCTTATCCGCATCTCTGGGGTGCTACGTAGGATGCTATATCCTCAAGGGTTTCGCCCATTGCCGCCGGCCCCCTTTTTCTTAGAATGGAGCATGCCAGAGCTAAGCTTTTGGGCAGACCTAGACGCATCTTGGACCCCCTTGGGCCGTCTAAGAAGCCATGTGGAACCATGTTGGGCCGTCTTGAAGGCCATCTTGGGCGTCTTGGGGGCCTCTTGGGCCGTCTTGAGGCCCTCTTCGAGCCGTCTTGGAGGCCTCTTGGAGCGTCACGGGGTCGTCTTGGAGGCCTGCGGGGCAATCTTGGAGCGATCTTGGCGGCCTCTTGGGCCATCTTGGCCAGTCGGAAGGCCGAAAAGAAGCAAATGGTAAAGTCCTTCAAACAAAAATGTGGGAATCAATGATTTTGGCCTCTTCGGGCCCTGCTGGAGGACCTCGTGGAGGCCTCTTGGGCCATCTGGAGGCGATCTTGGGGGCCTCTGGGGCCGTTTTGGGTTGTCCGCTGACCGAAGAGAAGCAAATGCCAAAACCATTCAAAATAAATGGAAAATCAATGCTGTCGGCCTCTTCGGGCCTTTCTAGAGGACCTCTTGGAGGCCTCTTGGGCCGTCATGGAGGCCTCTTCGGAGCCTCTTGGGCCATCTGCCGTCATCTTGAGGCCATCTTTGGCCGTCTTGTAGGCTTCTTGGACAAACTTGGAGGCATCCTGGACGCTCTGGGGCCGTCTTGGAGGCTATCTTGGACCATCTTGGGCGAACTTGAGGGTCATCTTGGCCGTCTTGGAGGCCATCTTCGGCCACCTTGGAGCTATCTGGAGCGGGAAAAACGTTTGCAGCCACCTCTGGGCAAGCCTTCCGGGTGGCCAGCGGCATCGGCCGAAGCCCCAGGGGGAGGTCTGCACGAACCGAAAGACTCCTGAAATTTGGTACGCCAGGCACCCCTGTGGCAAGCCAACAGGGGCTGGTGGATATCTAATGACTTTTGGTCCATGCCGCCACCGTGCCTGTGCTGTAGATATGAAGCCTATTGGATGTTTGTTGGGATCTCGTGGGATACCTCTCGGGGGCCTCTTGGATGCAGTTTTGATGTCTCTCGGGAGCCGATTGCGGGCATCATTTCGGCCTCTTGGCGAGCCTCTTGGGGCCACTTGAGCGCCTCTTTTCGCCAACTGGGAGCCTCTCGGGGCGGAAGGCTTGGATGTTCGGTTCGTGTTCCCTCTCCTGGGCCACTTTTGGGGCCATCTTGAACGCCTCTTGGACCGTCTTGAACGCCTCTTGGGCCGTCTTGGGACGCTCTGAGGCCGTCTTGGGGCCGTCTTCGGGCCATTTTGGTGGGGTGGTCTTGGAGGCCTATTGGGCCGTCTTGGAGCGTCGAAAAGCAGAACAGGCGAGCACGCCAAGATCAGCAATGTCTGCTTCTGGGAGGCCTCTTGGGGCGTCTTGGAGGTCTCTTGGGCCATCTTGAGGCCATCTTGGGCGTCTTGGAACGATCTTTCGGTGACTCGGGGCCCTTTGGGACCGTCTTGGGGGCCTCTTGGGGCCCTCTTGGCCCGTCTTGGGGCCCTCTTGGCTCGGGAAAAGTCACGCGCAAGACGCGAGAGGCTCCGAGAGATTTGAGAGCGAGGGGTCCAGGTTCCTGAAAGAATCCTCAGGAGTGAGGAGTGATACCCAGAGGATTAGGCAAAGGACCTGAGGACACGCCCACCCCGTGCCCAAGGGTACGGTGGCGGATAAGCGAATTTGGATCACCCCGCCTGCATACGAAACCTGAAGACCCAAGGCGCGTGGCGTGAAGCGCCCTTGCAGTCTTGCGTACGTGTGTATGCTATATCTACCCAAGACTTTCAGACCAGTGTGCCTCACTGGCGACAGGCTTGGTAAGCATGCGCCGTGCACGGGGTGGGGTGGCGGGGCAGCGCGCGGGCGCACGCGCGTGACGTGTTCACGGGCGGAGAGGCGGAAAGGTCGTGGGAGGCCGGGTTGGGGCGCCCCGATGTTCCGTGGGCTTGCTGGGAAACATGTGGGATCGACGTGACCGCACGCGGGCGCCAGGCGGGAGTGCACTGTACGCTGCGCCTGCCGGCGCGGCGTCAAGGTTCGGGCGCGCCACGCGGAACAAGGGTTGGGAAAGCCTCGGGGGTTAATCTGCACACCTTCGAATCTGAAGAGTGCACTGATCGGAGCTGTTGGCAAACGAACTTGGTGTGTGGGCGACGTGCGTGCGAGGCGTGTCGTGCGCGCACTGTGTAAGCGAGAGCGAAGCGGCGGAGGAACGCCCGTCTGCTTAGGCCTGGCCACGCGAGGAGCGAGCGCAGGCGAGGCACGCGCAGGGTTCGCGATGCGGGGCGAGGGGCAACGGCGGCGACAGTGCACGGGGCCCTTGAGACGCTTGCATGAGGGACAGGGCGTGAAAAGCAGGGGTTGGGAAGGTGAAGGGGGACGAACTCGAGTACAGTGGAGGCCCATGCCAAGACACACCCTGCTTGCTTCCAGGGTGCCCTAGGTTTCTTGGATTTCTATGGTTTTGCTATGAAAAGCGTGGCGTTCCCACACCAAAAAACAATGGACGTCCTGGGGTCTCAGGGTTGGGCTTCTTGTTAACGGTTTCTTGTGCAAGGGCCCCTACTGTAATGGGCACTGGAGGCGCATGGGTCAGGAAGGACACGGGGAGCGGTGGATTCGAGGAGTCGGAGCCAGGCATTTTCCAGCGGCGAAGTGACAGCTGAAACAGACGAGCACGGGGACGGGCTGGAGGATGAGGCGGAGGAGGTCCACGATGAGTGGGGAGGTGTGGCGAGAACAGGGGTGGGTTGGGAAGGTCGCGTGGGGACTCGGAGACGAGCACCGACTATCAGTCCTTGGGGCTTACTTGGCTTGTTCGGTCGTCGGAGCGCTGCGTGGTTGGTCGGAGGATAGTTCGGCGGGTCATGGGGACGTGAAGCGAAAGGGGGAAGGGCTGGTAAGGTGAGGGACCTAACGTAGCCGACAGTGAGACGACCGAGCGCCTCTTGGAGGCCTCTTGGGGGCCTCTTGGGGGCCTGCTCCTCCTCGTAGTCGTCCTCCTCCTTCTCGTCCTCCTCCCTGGACGGCTGCAGCAGACAGGAGTCCCCTCCCCATCAGTTGGGAAGCAGGCGACGTTCACGCACACGCAGACGTCCCCGCACCGGCCTCTGCAGAGGCTCGGAGACAGCCTCGGAGGCTCTCAGTGGTCTCCATGGTCCCATTGGGCCTTTTGGGGGCGTCCTTGGGAACTCTGAAGGCTTCCTGGGAAACCCTTGGGGGCGTGTTGGGGGTCCTTGGGGCCTTTAAAGCGCCTGGGGGCAACGGTGCCGCTGCCGTGGCCGCCGCTGCCGACGCCGCCGCTGCCGCCGCGGTCGTCGTTGCCGCCGAGGCGGCCGTGGCGTTCGCGCCAGCGCTGGAGGCGAACTGGCCGCTGCACCGGCGGCTGGCGGAGGCGGCCCCCCCATCAACGCGCCAGGGCGCCGCCGCATACCGACGCGGGAGCGCGCACCTCGCCAGGGTGCCCTCATCGGAGCGCCACAAGTGCCTCCAGCGTGTGCCTCGATGCGGAGTCCTGCTGGTGGGCACGCGCGGTGTTCGGGCGGGGGCGAGAAATGGGCAAGGATTCAGAGGAGGAAGGGATACCGGTACCGCTACCTTTCGCCCGTTGTCGCCTTATTGAGTTTCTTAGGAATCCCTTGTCTCCACGGCTGGATTCGACTCGGAAACCGAATCAGAACGCACCCTTGGACAGAAGGAGGAGATGGTAAGGAGGAGAGTGGGAGGGAGGAGGGAGGGAGGGGGAGGAAGGGAAGGGGGAGGGAGGGGGGAGGGAGGGGGGGCAAGGAAGGGGGGGAGGGAGGCGGAAGAACGGAACGGAACGGAACGTCGTCTCGCGTGAGGCGTGTGCCGTTCGGAACCACAGAAGGTAAGGAGGAACGAAACGGACAGTCTTTTTGGAGGCGGAGGAAGAGAAGGACGATGACGATGACGACAACGAGCATGACGCCTGGCACATCTCGCCCACTCCGTAGAGCGCGATGATGCGTCGGGTGCAGCATGATTTTGGAAGTGATCGACGGGGCCATCCGCACTACAATAAATTGCGTCAAGCTGGACTCATGAAAGTCGAGGGACGGAACAGTGACTCAAAAACCTTGCCCACATACGCTCGCATGGATACGTGGAGTTGGCGGGGGATGCATGAGCGGTGCAACATTGACGAAACCTGGAAATGGCGGCGCCCAGAGCGGGGTGGCGCGAGGGGTGGGCGCCTTCTGAGAAGGCAGCGAGGCTTCCAAGAAGGCTTCTTAGAAGCTGGGCGGGCTTCTAAGAAGTCCCCTTGCCTACTTAGAGCCCCCCGCCTTTTAGAAGGCTGGCCCCCTCGCGCCACCCCGTTGTGGGCGCCGCCAGCGGAGTTGAAGCTTGAGCTTGCTCCGAAAAGCAGCCCGCGCCCCCGATCACTCATCCGAGGCTGGCACGACACGGCGCGCCGACAGTTGTGGCAGCGTCTCGGTGCCACTCTGGCGGCAGCGTGCCGCAGGTTCCGGTGGTCACGGACCTTCCTTTAGGGCTTGACGACCTTTCTCCAATCGGTCTGGGGGGGTCAAGCCAGGTAAATCGATGTACAACAAATTTACGAAAATGCAGATGAATCGATGCAGATCCAGGGATCTCCAGGAAGACCTGGAGCAAGTCGTGGACGCTCCAGCGCGAGGCTGGGCACATCAGAGGTCGCTGAGCCCGTGACGAGGCCTGCTGCAAGTCCACGTCCTGGGGAGGCGGGGAGGCCCGCGTGCGGATTCGGCCAGCTGCTTCGGCGTGCGGGGCACTGCGCCCAGCGCCGCGGCGCTCTCGCGGAGTGCGACCTCGGCTCCAACTTGGTGGGCAGTGCGGAGGTCGAAGTGGCGCCACCAGGCTGCCTGGCCCAGGGGAGCCGCCTCCACGAGCGGCCGCTTCTGCGTCGAGGCTGGCGCGGCTGAGCTGGAGGTCGCCGCCGTGGACACGGCCAGTGAGCTGCGCACGGCGGCAGGAGCCGCGCCCGTCGCTGGAGTACTGCCCTGGCTCTCAGCGGCACCGCAACGGGTACTCAGCGACGGGTGCTTTAGAAAATTGCCGGACGTTGCCACTTTAGGGCCTCTTTCTGGCATTGCAGCGTTGCTCACATCGGGGAGGATTGGGCTCGCCGGGTCACTGGCCAAAGTACCCGTTAGTGAAGTCCCCGTCAAAGGGGCGCTGAGGCTCGCGGGGGGGGGGGGGGGCTCCACCCCCAACCCGTGCCCAGAGGAAGGCCGCAGCTGCTGCGGCGCTTGGCCCAGGGCCCCCTCCCAGGCGAGACCAGGGCCGCCAGCTCTGCCCGCGCCTAGGTCGGGAAACGTAAGGCTTGAGTTCGCCAGTGCTCGAGCTTGCCGACGCTGTTTGACGGGTCCGTCCGGGGTTTTGACCGTCCAGTTTTCGGGGAGGTGTCTGCAGCGGGAGCGCGCGTCAGATTTCAGATTGGGTCTTGTCATTTTCTCGGCGGTCCCGTCAGACCAACCCGAGTCCCCCGAATCCCCGAGTCTTGCGTCTCATCCACTATACCGCTGGGAACGAGTGCGAAAGTGTTGGGCAGGCGCTGGTGCTGCACGCGTTGGGGAGTTCCCCTCGCTGCAAGGGGCGGTGCCCCGCGTGCTCCAAGCTGCTCGGGGCGTGTCCGAATGCAGGTCGATTGCTGTCTGCGGCTGCTGCGGGATCTCTTCCCACGAGCTGATCGGCCGCTGGTCGAGGGAGGTCTTCTTGCCACAGCTGCAGGCAGCTCCCCCATTCTTGCTCGGGCCAGTGCTGCACTGTAGGTCAGTTTCGATCCGATCGATGCAAATAGATATCGATTCCGGCTGGCCTGATTCGATTTGATTGTGATATTCAGACGAGCTGATGTGGGCCGATATTTGCAGGGCGTTGTTGTGCATCGTGGTGCAGCCGGCCGATCAGAGTCGATTCCGACTCCGCATTGATGTAGTCTGATCCGACGAAGTTCCGATGCGATCCGTTTTTCCGATTCGATGCTGACTGATCCTGCAAGGGTGGGTGCCCGCGTGCTCCGAGCTTCTCGGGCGCTGGTTGAGGGGGGTCTTCCTGCCACAGTTGTAGGCAGCTTCCCCCTCTTCCTCGGGCCAGCGACGCACCTGACAACAGAACAGTACACACCCATGCCCACAGGGGGGGGGCCAGAGGGAGGAGGACCGGCTAAGCATCAGCAAGAGCAGCAACAACATTAACAACAACAACAACAACACCAACAACAACAACAACAACAACGACGACGACGACAACGACAACGACAACGACAACGACAACGACAACGACAACAACAACAACAACACCAACAACAACAACAACAACAATCATTTTAAGGCTGTTCGCCCTTATCTGCTCGAGTGTCCAATAACGCGTATTTCCCGAGCCCTCGATACCCGCCCTCTTCGTCTTCGATCGAACCCTTTTTGGGGGGTATACCTTTCTTCCCTGCAGACCGGGCCCCGGCAAGCGGGGCGGCCGCGGACCGTCGACCTGGCCAGCGGCAGCGCAGATCGGCGGGGCGGCCGCGGACCGAGGACCCGACCCCAAGAGGGACGGACAGGGGACCGACCACAACGACGACGACGACGACGGCGACGGCGACAACGACGACGACGACGGCGACGACTAGCGAAAGCGAGAGCGAGAGAGAACGACAGCAGGGCCACGAAGGACACGAAGTAGGCCACGAAGGGCGACAGCGGGGACACGAACGGAATGCGTATGGGGCCACGAGGAGCGCGAACGAGCGGGGGCCACGAAGGGCAGATAATGCGGGGCCACAGCAGGCAACGATGGGCCACTGAGGGTAGCAACTGGGCCACGTAGGACAGTACATAAGGGGGCCACAAACGGCGACAGCGGGGCCACGAAGGGCACGCACATGGGGCCACAACGGCCGCGACTCCTGGGTGCCTGGGTGTCGGGAGCGCGGCGCTTAAATTGCAGCTGATTCCAACAGAAGGGCGCTATTCTCCAATAGCTTGCAAGCAAGTCTCCAGCGAGAGCACGACTCCAGAGCGCCGGGAGAGCGATTCTTGAATACATTGTAAGGAAGTCCTAAGCGAGAGCGCGATTCCGGAGTAGAATGCGAGGAAATCTCGGGCGGGAGCGGGGGTCCTGGCTAAATTTTGAAAGATTCTCAGGCGGGAGCCGATGTTGTTGTAACCCGGGGGCCAGGGGCCCAGTTTGAGCATCAAGATTTCCCTTTTTTACAAAAAAAAAGTGTGCGAGCGTCGAGGGGCACACTCTGATAGAGAAAAAACAGTATGCATCGTTGGGGGGATCAACAACAATTATTCTTCAGAAATGAGAGTTCAACAACAACAACAACATCAGCAGCAGCAACAACAACAACATCAACAAGAGCAACAACAATCATTCGAAGACGGTTCGCTCTTACTTGCCCGTGAGTCATTCACAACGAGTTCCCCACACCCTCGATATCCGCTCTTTTTGTCTTCGATCACACCCTCTTTATGGGGGATTCTTGCTCGCTTAGACAGGCGGGCAAACCTGAATGGGCGGACAATCCCTCGTGGGCGTACATGTGCCCGCCATTGGAATTGGTGTGGCCCTTGCAAAAAGGAAGGGGAAAACGAGGGAGAGTGGGATGAAGGGAGGGGGAGGGACGAAGGAAGAGGGAAAACGCCAGGAGATAAGGAGCGAAGAGGGGGGCGGTTGATTAGAGGCAGAGAGAGAGAGAGAGAGAGAGAGAGAAAAAACAAACAGATAAGAGAGGTTGAGAAAGAGAAACAGAGACAGAGAAAGGGGAGACAGAGAGAGAGAGAGAGAGAGAAATAAATAAAGAAAAAGGGAGGGAGGAGGCAGGAGAGGGGAGGGAGAAGGGAGGAGGGATAGGAGGGAGAGGAGGGAGAGTGGATAGGGCAGAGAGGCATCAGGATGAGGGGAGAGAGGAGGGAGAGAGAAGGGAGGAGAGGAGGGAGGAGGGAGAGGGAGGACGAACAGGAAGGTAAAAATGTGAACGGTCGCGGAAATCCTAGGCGAAAGCGCCGTTCCTGAAGGAAGTTTCGGGCGGGAGCCCACGACGGGCGGGCGATCCCCTGACGGGCGGGTCGGGCGGGCGGGACATTCAAGCGGGATGCTTGAGTTTGGCGGGAGCGCGATTATTAAGTAAATTGTAACGGCGTCCTTGGCGCAGCGTGTTTCCTGAGCGTCGACAGCGTAATTTCTGAATACATTGCATGGAAGTCATAGGCGAGAGCGCAATTCCTGAATAAAATGTGGAGGGTTCTCTGGCGGGAGCGGGGGTTTTGATTAAATTGCGAGGGCGTCTTGATTCAATTGCGAGGAAGTCTCATGCGGGAGCGCCGTTCCTGAGTAAATTGCGAAAACGTCTCAGATGGGAGCGGGGGTCCTGACTAAATTGCGAGGAGG